ACTTAAATTCAGTAAAATTAATCCTTGAAATTGACAGTTTGGTTCTGAAAATCCTGGATAAACCATGTGTGTATAATACCTGGTAAAATCCTGAAATTGTTTTTCCTTAAGCCTGTATAAACCATGTGTGTATAATACCTGGTAAAATCCTGGAATTGTTTTTCCTTAAGCCTGTATAAACCATGTGTGTATAATACCTGGTAAAATCCTGGAATTGTTTTTCCATAAGCCTGTATAAACCATGTATGTATAATACCTAGTAACAAAACATTAGCCTGACAAAAATAGATGCAAGTAATGAAAATTTTATAAAACTTCTTTCAGTTTTTATACTTGAACGTAGGTAATGATAAAAACAAAGTGGAGCATTTCGACTTGTTTTGATATGTCTTATGACCAGCTGTTGAGAATAGCTTTGATTGTATCAGCTTTTAGTAACTTTTAATGTCCTGGATTTCAAAGAGAAAATCCAAATAAGTTTGAAAAAGATAATTTGCTCTCATAGTAAGTCAAAACCAAAAAAAACAGTTTATATAATTGTTAACGTAGCCCTCTTATAATTTGTTGCTGATTTGTAGTATATTAGAGAGTTTGTACTTTACAGTATATCTAGAACCTTATAACATCATTTCATGGTTTTGTTTTAACACTATGGGAAGTATTAAGTTACTTGGGATATATTTGTTACAAGAAAACAAATGGACTCAATAATTTTTGTTTTAAAATAATAAGACTGCTATCAGAAAAATTTGAAACTTGTATATATATTATAAACTTTGCTTATTGGGTATAATAAAGATTTCACAAATATATATTTCTTCTTCTTCCCTAACAGGATGTAGGGGCAAGCACTCTCCCACCCGTCCCCATTCAGCTGATCGCTAATGCTGCAAGTTCTCAAACAACTACCGGTACAACACCCAGATCTGTACATATGTCTGCAAATGCACCCTCGATCGTCAAAGTCATCGACTTAACTAGAGAAGAAGAGGAAATCTCAAAGTCTGTGGTGTCTGGTTTAAAAGTGTCTACTACATCTACAAGTTCAGGTATGTCATCAGTTTGATAAGTCACAAAGTTTAGACTTTAGTATAAAGTTTTACTATTTTTCAAAGCCGTAATTTCAAGTAGATTTATTTTTGACTGTAAATATTGAAGATGTTATAACTGCTTTCAAACAAAGCAAAAATGATGCACGATATTTAAAAATATAGTGTTTGAAGATTTCTGCAATGATATCACTGCATCTGTGTTAATCCTCGGGGACGAAGTCTGTCAATTTAACACATTCTGATCTTTTTTGCTTACACAGAAAATTACAAAACCAAATTGCGTAAAACTTTAAAACTTTCTAAAGAATGTGTAATTTATATGAAAAAATACATTAAATGTATTTAGTGTCTGTATGTCTTCTCAGTTTTTGAATTTTTATGAAAGATCACTGTAAGACAGTTTTATAAAAAATAAATAAAAATAGACTAATCCTGATTGCCTTAGATTTCTAATTTTTTTATGTTATTAATAAGAAAAATATGTCCATTACTATTCCTTCAATAAAAATGCACTTTTTTCAGTTTGATATTATTTTTATCATTATTTTTTTATGTACTTACTACCTGTTAATACCCTCACTGGAATTCTTGTTGTGGAGAAATATTTCTGTATCTTTCAAAAAGAAAAAATCGGACATATATCTGGTAGAAAAAAAACATCACCAGAAACTATTAACCTGAAGAAATAAGTATAATTTTACAGTACAAAAAATAACAAATAAAATATAAAGATTTACTGAAAATAAAAATGTTTGATATTTAATTATGAGGTTTTTTTATTTTTCATTTGTTTTAACTGTTATTATTATTATAAAAGTAACTAAAATCATAAAAATAGAAAGTTATTAGATGAAATAATGAAAGAAAAATAATAAAAAAACTTTCATGGGGGGGGTATGCGTGCCAGAAGCTTCTGCATTACGCTGTCTGATAGGGTCATGTCAATGCACTTGTGCCATGTAATTTTCAACTTTAGTCGGGATATTTTTAGTCAGACATGGTTCAAAGGTGAATAAAACAAAAATTAATAAATATAAACAGATTTACACTGTTAAGAGATTTAAGCTATTTAGAATTACAATTTGCAGTTATTGTAGAACAAAAAAGGTAATTTAGATTTATTTCCTTTTTTATGATGGTTACGAGGTAGGTCAAATCGATCAACACCATATAGAGTTAATATTGATAAAGTAACGGAATAAATATAAAGTTTTATTGAAAAAATGTTTGATGATTATCTGGAAAGATATAGCGATTACACAAATGAAACTTGACAAATTTCAGATAAAGAAAAGTATTTTTAATCTTAAAATCAAAATTACTTTGTACCTTGGACAGTCAACATTCCGAAAGAAAAATTCACGAGCAAATCTTTAATAAACAAATCTTAAAACATAATTCAAAAACCAGATATTCTGTGTATGGAAGCCTTGTAATGTTTACTGATAATCTGCAAAATTTTGTAAAGACTTGCATACATTTTCACAAATTATAGTACAATTACTCTCGTAGATACTTTCCTGGTTACGAGCTGGGTGGATTCCACCCAGCCTGTAATGGAAAGGTTAATAAAACAAACAGTACAAATGAATCTATAAACTGATCCTTGATTCTCTGGTGAAGGAGAGATTTTTACCTAAACACGTTTGTCTTAAAATATAGGTGGTTAAAATGCTTCTAAAACTCAACAAAAAAAATAAATAAAGAATTTATTTTAAGGTTGCTAATATTTATGAAATAATATTTAATTAAGAATAACAAATTAAATATATATTTGCTAGTGGACATGGAAACACTACTAGCACAGTTTATTAGTAACCAAAAAAGTTAGATTCTGTCTCTTGTATTCATTGTCTATCTAGCACCTAATAGGTGAGAGAAACTCTCAATTAATAAGCAGAAAGGATACTACCTTATTCAGTATTAGAAACACATGCATTTGTAAAACCATGTGATTTACATAGCATGTCAATAATAGCTTGCAGTCTCTAATACTGTGACTTCATTTTTCATGTAGCTTATTTACAAAATTTGTACCTAATTGATTTTTTTTTCCTAATAGATTCACTAAAACAGTTTTAAAATGGTTACCTGTACACTGGTCATTAACATCAGTGAATATGTTCTGTGATTGGTTCTATAACAAATTATAAATATATAAAAAACTAACTCTCAAGGAAACTACTTTCTTATTCATAATGCACACAAGTGTGATCACTGTAATCGTTAGAGACACAAGTCTCATCCGTATTTAGCCACTGACAAGAAAAATCACTATTGGAACAGTCGATAAACAACTTGATATTTTTGATAATATTACTTGTTCTACAGATTTGAAAAATTAAAATTTTCCCATTAAGGATGTATTGCATGGCAATTTAATACAATAATAAATTTTTTATTCCCATTTTATAGGATTAAATAAATCTTATAATTTTCTATATTTAATTGTATTTTATTTTTCGATGGTATTAGTACTAAACACAAAATTAAGTTAATGATCAATTGCTTTAAAACATCGTGTAGGACTAGTTGACTGACCACCACAAAGATTTTTTTTCAGGAATTTTTAGCTTTGTTAATTATAAAGTCTCTTAAATATACTCTAAAGACATTTCTGCCCTTTTTTGGTCAGTGTTAACATTTCTCATAGTCTTCATATTTTATTTGTTTTTGTATGACTGGAAGCTCATTTTTATGTTCATTAATCTTATGATGTTAAATTATGATTCTAAGTTTTACTGTCTTGAAGTTTCATCTACTTTAAGATATAAATGACCATAACTTAACATGCCTACGGGATGAGAAAGAACTCTATATTGTGATACACAATACATAGAAAATCAGCATTTTAAAACTTATACAACTTCACATATTTATGAACCTTTGGTATACTTCTTTTTATTGTCATTAGTTGTCAAGCCTTCAGTTCAAAGCTCATCAAGTATAGTTCACAGTCTGCCATCTGGTGGAGTAGTCACTATGCCTGTTGTTCATAATACAGTGCCATCCCTGGTACAAGTTATTCCCTCGGGTGCACCACTCTCACCATCTTTTGCTTCCTCCACTGGAACAGCTGTAAGACTGACTAGACCATCTTCTTCTGTTCTTCCCCAAGCTTTATCTCAAGGGACCAAGGTCACATATCTTGTTCCTGCTGCTTCAACAGCTATATCAGTTCCACGACCTGAAGCTCCTCCTCGTCTCACCTCTGCGGTGCCTTTCACATCACCTTCAGGGGTTATCAGTAATGCTCGGCAACCACTCCAGACCTTCTTGGTCCGGATGGCATCACCTCAGTCTGGAGGTTAGTTACAATATGATCTTGTCACCTTTGAGGGTTATTACAATAAGCCATAATCATATGCTTGGCACTGCCTTCAACATTGATAATATTGTTTCATCTGCAGTCAGTTTAGGGTCAAAATGTAATTTTTTTCATCACAGGTATGGTCTTTTGAATTTTTACAATTACCTTTAAAAAGGATTTTTACTTACTAACTTTATTGCTTTTATTTTGACAGGGTTCTTTGGGATCTAGGTTGTATTCTTATAACTTGTATATATTACTTTTTTTCATATAAAGATTGTGTCATAGTTGGTTTTAAAGGTCATCTTAAAAATTGGCAAATCTCTTCTTTATAGCTGTGAAGCTTTTTTGCATGATCAGTAAACATTGTCATCGTAACAAGAGTAAATATTGCCTTTTAGTTGTGACAGATACCTAAATATATAGCCTCCATATAAAAAAAACTAATTTTTAAAAATGGAATACAGATTCATATTTCTTAAATGTCCAAGGAAATTTACTTACTAATTACTGCTTTTGAACCCATCTTGTTTGTGTGTCACTTCATTTTCTATTGTTATCCAGCTAGTTTAAATGTGTCATCTCATTATTATTTGTTATCCAGCTAGTTTAAATGTGTCACTTCATTTTCTATTGTTATCCAGCTGGTTTAAATGTGTCATCTCATGATTATTTGTTATCCAGCTAGTTTAAATGTGTCATCTCATGATTATTTGTTATCCAGCTAGTTTTACTGTGCCATCTTATGATTGTTTGTTATCTAGCTAGTTTTACTGTGCCATCTTATGATTGTTTGTTATCTAGCTAGTTTAAATGTGTCATCTCATGATTATTTGTTATCCAGCTAGTTTAAATGTGTCATCTCATGATTGTTTGTTATCCAGCTAGTTTAAATGTGTCATCTCATGATTGTTTGTTATCCAGCTAGTTT